CGGGCTGTGGGTTCCCTGTCCCCCGTGAGGGGCTTGGAAACGAGCCCGTCGTGGTCGTCGGCAACGTTCCTGTTGAGAGGGAGGACCCGCCCCTCACCAAGAAAAACGACGATGCAGAAAGATGAAAGACGGACGGCCCATGGCGCCAGTCCCGTTCCGTTCCCGCTTCCGCCCGTCTCGTCACAGGTTTCGAGTGCAGCGTCACGGTTCCATGCGCGCACGCCACAATAGGGCCGCGATATCCAAAACCCGGTTTCCCATGATGGCCCATGGCTGCAGTGTATACGTACCGCGACCTATGTGGGAGCGGAGCTGGCTCTTGAGCATGGGAGAGCCGACCGGATCGGATCTGCAGGCCGAGGAACTGCCCATATCTCCTTGCTGAGGGCTGCATTGCTGCAGGTTGCTGTCATTCTTGTCGGTTTCTCTCTCTTTCTCTCTCTGCGTGGTTCTTGCAACTGCAGTGCCAACTCAGCATTGCCGGTCTTCCTTGCCTCGAGCTGCGACTCTCTCGCCTGCACCGCCCTCTGTAGGGCTGGCTAGGTGCTGCGCACTGGCATTCTCAGGCCGCGCGGGAAGCCATAATCTGGAATCCGGCATGTGTGCCTCTGGTCCTTGGATGGGGGAAAAAAAAGAAAAGGAAAAAGGAGGCCCCCGCAAGCCTGTGTAAGCCTCGGGCCTTGGAGTGAAACTGATGTGTCGCCCAGCGCTGCGTGCGTTGGCTCCCGTCCCTTTGTTGCGGCCAGACGGGGCGAGCAGCAATGGCCAGGCCCGGGCAGAAGGAGAAGAGGGAGCAAACAGGCCGGGCTAGGTAGGGTTAGTGGGCTTTTTTGGATCCCTGATAATTACCTAGCCGGAAACCTATGTTGGGGTTAGTCGTGCAGTAGCTGGTAATCTGTAGCTGACCCGCGGCGATGATGTACGATCACGGACGGGCTGGCTGGGTCGAGGAGTATGGTTTGGAGGAAAGAGTCGGCGACTAGATGGTGCATTGCGCAATCGCGGTGAGGAATGGGGGAGATACTCGGTGGCACACAGTTCGGGCAGGAGCAGATCCTGATGTCAGCAAGAAAGGTTGCAGGCCACACACACACACTCTCTCTCTCTCCCCTCCGAGCAGGTGCGAGCGACCCTTTGCCGCTCACCCCCTTCAACCAATAGGTCAAATAGGGTCGATCTAATGGGGAAGCGATCCAATGAATGCAATCCCAAGTTCCTACACTAGAAGACGGGTCGGCACCTCATCGCCCCCGGACCAACGTAGCATGGAACGACAGGAACAGGAACACCAGGAACACCAGGAACACCAGGAACACCAGGAACACCAGGAACACCAGGAACACCAGGAACGGGCTTCGCGTCCGAGGCATTGGTACTCTGTCAGACAGGGCGGTCTGCCTCCTACCGGTAGATCCTCCAGCTGGCTCCGGGAGGGGGGCCCAGCAAGGCCATGCCCGGACGTCCAAACTCGGGCGACGTCTGTACCAATTGTCGATTACCAATTGTTGATTACCAAGTAGGCTGAATGAGTCACTGCAACTCCCGTCGAGGCGTTTCAACCCATTCTGTTAATGGCTACGGACAATGAGGTATGTAGAACATCACAGATACGTACTTGCTTGCATGTGGACTGCATTACGTAGCTGGCACGGGCATTGTCAAGGGGGGGGGCACAAAGCAAAGCAGATACATAGCAGAACGGAGGTACGTGTCCAAGACGGTCCCTTTCTTCACGTGCCAGAAGGGACAGGAGGGGAGAGGAAGGGCGAAGGTTTGGGGCACATGGGAAATTCCCGAATACCTAGGGGACGGGCCTCGATGTGGCCGTTTCCATTACATTCTTGCTGTTTGGTGCTCTGCATGTTGGTAGCCATCTGAAGCAATGGCCGCCGGCGCAACGTGGACATGTACAGGAGGGAGACGAGAGTCAGTCGAACCATGAGGCGGGCAGACCTCGCGGCCAGAAAGCGCTCCTTCCGATTGGGGGTCAAACAACAACAGATTGATCTAGTGTAGCTACCTAATGCGGTCGGGAAGTTGGGGAAGGCCTCCCTGCATGATCCCGTACTGTTTTGGGACGACGTGTACGGGCGGTAGCTGTCCGTAGCCGCGGTGGCCCGGTGTTCGGGTGCCTGAAGGGGCCCTCCTGGGAAATGGTCAACGACAGACGGGCGAGCAGGAAAGCAAGCTGGTGTACCGTTTGAGCGACTGAGCGACGACTGCGGTCAGGTAGATGAAACGGGTTTGGGTTTGTTTGACGGACAGGCAGGCATGCCTTGCGTGTTCGGAGAACATCCTGAGGCACCCGCTTCAGTCACCCCTTCCAGCCGCCAGTGTTAAGGGCAGAGAGTTTTCTGGAACGGTGAACTGTGAGGTTAATTACCGCAAAGCAGGTACCGGTAGGTACACTACGGACATTTGGTTTGGTTGTAAAGGATCCTGAGATTGGCCTGGGCAGAGAAGAGGGAGGGAAGGTGGTACCCCTACTCTGTACGTGTAGTGCAGGTAGGTACGGAGTAGAAAGAAGTGTATCCGTATACAGCAAGTACCTAAGAAGCACCATATAAACTAGGTTGGTACCTTGGGTAATCAGCATCAAGAGAATCATGACAAGTCACAACTGGTTAATAAATACTACGGATACCTGGAGCAAAAACAAACACCAAGACGGCCGTGGACGGGAACTGTGGTTTTGGCTCGGGATATCCCATCTTTGTTTGGCCTGGCAGGTCGAGCCAGAACCCTGTTCCCAGTCATTGCTGATTCCCTAGGTAGACTCATTAAACTACTTTACGTGGTTTACAAAGTAACTGCCACAGCAACACTGCTGCTTTTCCTTTCCCCTCTGGTCTGGCCCATGTGATTGCGGCTCTCTCGCCCGCCGTTTCTGTCTCTGTCTGACTTTTTGCTTCTCGTGACCCGGTCTGGTCTAACGACTGGACTTGTTCTTTCAGTTTCTCTCTTTTCCTCTTCCCCTCTCTTGTCTTTCATTTCTACCATCGTGTCCATACACCCCGTCTACCCTAACTCTTTATCCGCTCCTTTCCCACTAGACAAGCCCCCCCCCGCCGCTTCACCGAACCGATATTTCCGGCACTTCAGTCTTGGCTTTTCTTTTCCCCGGCTACGGATAGTAGACAGACCATCGAAGCCAGCCCAGGGACCGTCTGTCTCTCCGCCCCTCGCTACTTCGTACACTACCGACGACGACGACGAGCCAAGAGCAGACATTGCCACCAATTACCATCGCTGCCCTGCCCGCCCTGCCCTGCCCTGCCCACCACCACCACTGAGTTGGCGCGCATCCCTGTCAGGTGGTCCGTCACCCGCCCTCTTGCATTCTGAGCTATCATATTGCTCGTTGTACTGTCCTCGTCGAGCGAATCCAGCCGCATCTTCCATCCCACATCGGGGCTACTAAGCTTCAGGGTCCAGCTGAAAGAAAAAGAAGAAGAAAAAAAACAGAAAGGAAAAAAAAAAAAGGATAGGCACAGGCCGCATCAACAGGGGGTGTTCGGCTACCAGGCAAATAGTTCCGCCTGGCGACGGCTCGCACATCCCGCCCCCAGACCAAACGGCACAGACAGGATTGGACAGGGCTCCAGACCCGGAGACCGAGTCTGTTCCATCTTTACCAAGACCAGCTACTGGATCTGCTTGCTGCCCCCTCCCTTCTTCCGGCTGATCGCATGTTACGAAAGTGACTCGACAGTGACACTGGAGAAGAAGCACCGCAGACAGGGGAGAAAACAGGCGTACACGTACACGTACGCTACACTACACGTGTAATAGTGTGCTCGGTACTATCCCGGCAACAGTTCCTCCCCCGGTCAATAACCCCCATCCATAAACAACAAAAGCCCACATCCACCACCTCAGCTCAGGGCCAAGGGCAGCCCGGCCTAACCTCGAAAGTCACAACGTTGGCGGTGCGGGACGGTACCTACATACCCGTACAAAGTACTGGTAGTACCGTAAGGCACGAAGTACCAAAGGTGGGCTTGGTGCACATCTCTGGGCCAGCAGCTACAAAGTGTACGTACTCCGCCGCGTACCTGGCCTGGCTCCCCAAGATTCCCTCTCACCCACACACCCCACCTAGCCGGCACATCATCCACCCACGAAACCCGTTCTTGGAACCCGTCACTGGTTGGTACACCCATAGGTACCTCATCCCACCCGCCCGCTAGCCAACCATTGAAATTCACCTCTGTCCGGCTGACCGTCAACTGAGGTACCTACCTACCTACCCCGGTCATCCGTCTCTATCCCTCTCTCTCTCTCTCCCATTCCCTCACTCGCCGCATGTACACACGCGAAGCAACAACGCTCACTCAAAACAATTCCATTTTACCTTAACCACCCCCCCCTCTCTCGTCGCTCTGCTTCTTCTCCCTCACGACTCTTTACACAATATCTTCTCTACATCTGGTTGGTCGTACCGTGATCTGGATCACCATTTCGACTCGCCGCCAAACTCTCTGTCTCGACATAATCTCGAAGCCACAGACTGTACTTTACATCCAAACTCCAGCCGGGCGAGCAACTACCAGTGGAGACACACCTCTTTCGTCCCTGATTCACCCAAGGAACGGACGACCCTCCGCCACCAACAACGCGCGATACCTTACACTCGACATTCTCTCCACGGCCTAATTCCCACAAACCGTTCGTCAGGTAAATATCCAATCCTGTCTCGCTTCCGTGGGCATGCCTTGTCGTGGAATCCAGTTCCTCCGAGAATAATCTGCGGCCCAGGAGCCATTGCCAGGCACAAAGAAGCGCCAGCTCCCCCCCAAAAAGCGACACAGCGCTAACCGACCGTCCAACAGCTTTGCGTCATCTCCTCGCTTCCTGCTATACTACACCACACTCACTGCTCATCGCTCCCTGTCGGCAACCCCCCTCAAGACACCCATTCCACCGCCGACTTCGATGCCCCTTCCCTGGGCCCAGGTCTCAAATCCCGACTGCTCCCTTCTTCGCAAGGAGTCTTAACCATGCTCACCTCCGATTCTTTCCTGCCCTCGGCATTCACCGACCACGACCCAAATATGCCCCCGTCCGCCGTCATCTCGCCGCTGTCATTATCGCGAATGGCCAACTCGCCCTGCTACTTCGACAACAAGTCGACATCCAACGTCCCAGGGCATTCTTTGTATTCCACTCAATCCTCTGGCGCTGTGCGCTACCCGCCGCCATCACAAAGCTCCCTTCAACCTCACTTGCGTCCCAACGGCGCCAACGGCCTAAACAGTCTCAACGGTGTTGTCTCGTACGATCAGATGTCGAGGGTCGTTTCGCCATCACATCCCGAAAACTTGGCCAGTTACAGCTCGTCGGCTTTCCCGCCCCCCGTCAGAGTTTCGCCAAACGGTATGCCTCATCCGCGGTCAGTCTCCGCTGACGCAGCTTCGGCTCCGGCGTCCGCGCAGATTATTCGACGGCTGGCCCAGCAAAATGCACGGATACGGGAGGCGTGGGAAGCCGAGCGCAAGTACATGGAAGCAAACCGTGAGCGCGTCGAGGAAGTCTACAGGGAGGAGCGAATGATCATGGAAGACGAGCGTCTTGCGTGGGAGGCTGAGAAGGCGACCTTGCTGGAGCACATCAGCCGCCTCAAAAACCAAGTTGCAGTGATCGACGCCGACAAGATTCGCCTTCAATGCGCACTGCAGCGATTCGAGCTGGAGAAGGCAGGCAAAGTCGCCGGCGTCACCGTTGCAATCCCAGGAACAGGAACGCGAGGTGGTGGGGCCGACGGCTCCACTCAACTTTCCTTCCCAGGATTCTCCTCGCAACTCAATGACGCGCGCTTCGGCCTCTCCAACGGGACGACAGAGCGCAAGTCAACCAATGGCTCTGCCTCAGCCTCTGTCTCGCCAACCCAGATCCGACCTCGGTTTATTAGTCCTGGCAGCTCCCGCATTTCTCCATCCAGGCAGCCAGAGACTTTGTCCTTCTTCCCCCTCAACCCCAACATGCAGCCTACTACCGCCGATCCCGTCGACTTCCTTGGCTCTCCCAAGGACGAGCAGCCCGTACCCATCGTCGACATCCAGATCATCAACCCTCAGCTTGAAGGCGTCCCCCTCAAGGCGCCTGCCATTCAGAAGAGCACATTTACCGACTCTGGCCCGACCCCGGAAAACTCGAAATGCTCGTCTAGAAACGCATCCCCGCCCGGTGGCTCTGCAAAGTCTAGGCGCAGCCCGACCCAGGAACACACCCTCCAGGTCCTCGCAGCTCCTGAGCCCGACAGGCTTGTTATGCACGCCGGCCACACTCCTAGCCATTCTCTATCCGTATTAGGAACCGCCGCCGGCACAGAGGTTGCGACGGCTACCGAGGGCACTGGGGGATCCACGCCGACACTGGCGCCGACAGACATGAGCTCAAACCCGGCGACCTTGTGTGATGCCAAGGCAAGATTGGATTCGTCCGATCTCCAGGATGACGCTTACGGCGGCCCCGACGAGCCCCAACCCACGTTGGAGGCGACCGACGACGTCGCACTCAAGGGTCCTCTGATGGTTCGCAACATCCCTGCGCATGACGAAATCTTCTTCAAACGCTTGTCCGAAAAGCTCCAAGATGTCAGCAGTGGCGCAGATGCCGTTCCCACCTGCATGAAGACCCCGAGCGAGCATGAATTCCCAGGCCCGACCGAGGATAAGGAGAACCTCGTGGCGCCGAACCGGGACTCAGACGCGGCCAGCGACAGAGGCTCTGCCACCGACAGAGATGATTTGTCAGAGTCCCAAAACAAAGCCGAAGAGATCGACGTGCCCTTGAAGCTCAAGAAGACCATCAACTTTGGTGCCCCCTTAGGCTCCATGTTCTAAAGCGGCAAAGTACTAGCACGACTTCTCCTCAACGGAGTCAGGTCTCGACACTAGAGACGACACATTCGCATTGACGTTCTCATGATTTCGCCCCCGTTCTGCACATATAAACCCTGTCCTTTGTACAAACTTACGGACATTCAACATTCACATGGCATTGGCCTAAACGGACCAGCCTCTTCACTTTCCTATGTATATCCCCACGCGGTGGACGGTTTGCTTTTCGATTCGACGACATAGACAGGATGATGGGGCAGAAATCCCCCAGGGCTCTGCGGAGCAGCATCACTCGATTTTCTTTTTCATGGATGGATTTCACGGTGTTTACACAAAAAAAAAACGCACAATACCCCCCGGAGGATTGGAATTCCCTCTCACGAATTGGTTTGTTTGTCTTTTAATGGATACGGTGTCGATGGAGGCGCACTTGCCTGGGCCCCGACGGAGGGCGCAAAATGGAAAGGTGGGTGGGCGTGGGAAGCTTCAATGATGGGGAGGCATGCGGGAATCAATCTCCCCCATAGCCATAGTATCCTCAGATTGACGAGGCAGAAAGAAACTACAGACCATTGCTACGCGGTGGTGCCTGGGAGTATGTTGCCAAGAAGCAACGAATAGAAAAATAGTGCAGGCAAATAAACATTGCTAAACGCGGTCTTCTATGGCCGTTTTTGCCAAGGAATTATACGTCGACTACATGCATCTCGAGTGAAACTTGCCGAACAGCTTGACTTTGATTGGCATGGTGTTGAAGGAACTGGCTTACAACAACACGCGGTCTGACGGATTAGTTTCCTCCCGTCTTTGTGGTACAACAGAATGGTGGTGTGAAGAGAAGTTTCGTATCGATTCAACCCGTCCGTCAAAACCGGTGCCCCATGCCGATGCAATCTCGCCAGTCCTCCTCCGTCCACAGGATTCCCAATATAGACAGACAGACGCACAGTTTTTTCTTTCTTTCTGGACGGTGAATAGAAATAAATTAAAATAAAGAAGTAGACCAGCAACAGAGGGCCAACTCGTACATCCATCCCTGGCTAATCCAACGCTGAGACGTGCCCCCCCTTCCCGGCAGCGTTATTGCCGCGACCTCTGGCTACGCTTCCCGTCGCGATCCTCTCCAACGGACAGCTCGAGACCCTGGGAGATGACGAGATGGTTGGAGATTGGAGGTCCTGATTGGTGCCTGCTCCACCTTGGGTATACCCTATCCTCTCGCTCATCATCATCATCATCATCGTCGTCCTCCTCGAGAGAATCCCCTCGCCTCTTCTCTCTTGCACATCTGGCTGCAAGCGGGCGGCACATGTGGCCGGCTGGTCCCCAGTTGCGCCCCCTACACCCTCGCGAGCAGGTCGTCCAGCAGCTCGGTCGTCTCCGCCGGGCTCGCGATCCACGCCGTGGTGCCCACCGAGCGGGCCTTGAAGTCGTTGCTCCCGGCGCTGAGGAACTGGTCGCCGATGTGCAGCGTGCTCTCGCCGGCGATGGGCTGCTCCGGCCGGCCGGCCTTGGCGGCGAACCACCGCTGGCAGACGGTCACGCCCCACGACTTGTCGCCGATGTCGACGAAGACGTCGCGGCCGCCGTTGAAGGCGCAGAAGGGGACGCGGCGGCGACGACCGGAGAGGGCCACCGGGGACCTGGGCATGGGCGTGGGTGTGGGCGAGGGTGCGGACGGGTCGGCTCCGGCGGAGACGGGGACGCTGTGCCCGGCCGCCTGGGCGGGGGACCCCAGCGCCGAGAGCTCGAGGGTCTTCTGGACGACGAGGACCGTCTCCTCGAGCGACTCGCGGGGGATGCGGATCGAGGGGTCGGTGGGGATGATGCCGACGGCGCGGTCCTTGCGAAGCAGCGTGGCGGGGAGCTTGAGAGTCTTGACGCAGTCGAGCAGGGCGGTCTCGGCGACGTCGAGGAGCGCGGCGATGTCGTCGTCGGACCAAGCGGCCATCTCGGGCGTGAGCCAGCGATCGCGCGGGACCGGGGCCAGCAGATGCGGGGACGAGGGGTCGTACTCGAAGAGGTAGTTGGCTTCGCCGCCCATGATCACGATGGACTCCTTCTGGACCGGTGTCAAGTCCTTGGACGCGGCGATGGCGTCGAGGAGGCCGTGGAGGCGGTCGTAGTAGCGGTCTGCCGTCGTGTAGCCTGCCGCCGTGACGATGCCGATCTTGACGTCTTTGCGGAGGAGGTCTGGACAGCTTGTTAGAGGGGGACACTTTGACTGCCTTCTCATCGTGATGCAAAGGAGAGGGCTGGATGGATTGGTACATACCCAGGAGGCGTGGGATCAACGGGCTCGAGGGTTCCAGACTCTCGCCGTCGTCGTAGAGGGTGACGTCTCCGTCGAACGTGGCGAGCTGCAGCGGGGACTCGGGGGCGGCGGTGACGGCCATGATCTGGGCGGCGTTGAGAATGAGGCGAACATCGTTGAAGGATGGGGAGACGTAGCGGCGCGAGGAGATGAGGCGGCGCTCGTCCATGTGGTTGAAGGCGGCTTCGAGGGGTAGGCGGGTAAAGAAGGGCCCCGCGCTTGGGACGAGCATCTTGAGCTTGGAGGGCAGGTCATTCGCCTCTTCTTGACGGGTGACTGTGTCTTTTGTGAGTATACGAGGAATGCGGCGACGGGGGTGGGCTAGACCGGGGCGAGTGTCCCAGAGACTTACTGTGGTCGTCAATCATGTGCTCGACATCGCGGAAGATCTCGGCATATCGGCGGTGGGATTCCTCGGCCATGCGGGCAATGCTGGTTGCTTTCTTGTCGAAGACTCCGGTGGGTTGGGAGTATAGAACGAAGGGGACTGCGAGGAGGCCCTTGATCCATTCTGAGGTGGTGTGTGTGAGTGAGTTTGCTGAATGAGGAGGGACATATGCATGCCATGATGGGGGAAGTGAGGATGCGGCTGCCGGTCAACAGTGCTGTGAAAAGGCGCCGCCGGTAACGACTTCGCTACCCTTCGTGACTGATCGTGTCTAGTTTTTCCAGAGAAAAGTGAAGGGGATTGGGGGATTGGGAAATTGACGATGCTGAGGCCGAGTCTCGATACACTTGTCATAGAAGATGGCTGACGGGATGGGATGATGACGGTTGTGCCGTACCTATGAACTGGTCCCGCCTGTGGGTCTTGAGGGCGTCTGAGCAGTCGTCAGTCATCCGGTCCGTCCCAATGCTCCGTCAGGATCATGTTTTGCTTACACTCTACTCTGTATCTTGTCGTCATACTGGGCTACGATGAAGATGGCGGTGAGGATGAGAATGAGTTGGGGGAGGGGTCACGGGGGCTGGATCCGGTCTTGTGAGAGGCTGGTCCGGATATCACGATTCGACTTGCGAAAACAGTATATGATTAAAAAGTTTGAAGATTCTCAAAGATCAGGAAAAGAGGAGAAACAATATAATGTAGGAAGCACTGGAGTCAGGAGGTGACGGCATAAGTGGTGAGTGACAAGGAGAGAAGAAGCAGAAGCCGAACGAAGTGATGTTGAATTCCCACCACAGACAGAGACCAAGTGGGACCGGACCCCAGCATGCCGCAGCGCCCGGATGGGCAGCGGAATGCAGGGATGCAGCTGCAACGCTAGACCATCTACCGGAGGCCGCCGCTACCCGGCGCAGGGACCCCTCCAGCCGGCTGCAGATCCCTGCTTTTGGCATGCTAATACCTCTTTGCCCTCATGACTTTGGTTGCAGAAAGAACACGACCACGCCAACTCTTTCTCTTCTCAAGCATCGTGAGCGAGAAGATGTGAAGAAGACAGAGGGGTAGCAGGCGTTGGTCTGGACGGCTGTTTCCCGTTGACCAAGGTTTCGTGGAAAGATTGCTGCTGCGCTGTGCGTCAACACTGTGCCCTTGGCCAGAGAGGCCATGGAAACTCGTCTGCATCTCGACAGGCCTTTTGGTAGGTATTCTTGATTCTCTTGCCTCTCCATTGAGTTCACACTACCTATCTGCATAAGAGCAGCCTGTAAGTGGCTATGTTTTGTCAACGTGGTACAAGGTAACGGCCCGCAGCGCTGATTACTGCCGCCCGACATTGAGGCGGGACGTCAATGTTTTCCGAACCGAGACCAAAACGGCCCAATTGTCCTTTGAGGTGTCCCTTACAAGACAAGTATCCATCAAGTTGGTCTGCTCTGGCATTCTACCTGGCATGGTCTCACATTCCTTGCGGCTGTCCGTCTTTGACGCAATTAGACATCATGGGCATCATTGTCGATTTCGTATGAATCGAGGTCTAAACAAAGACAGAACTGAACAATAACGGATAGTACAGTTCGAAAGAAGAATGTTGCGAAAGCTGGAAAACACAATGCGTTGGTCTCTAATGATAGCAGCAGTCGGGAAAGCTGCATTGGACTAAGCGAATTTGAGCTCGAGACATTACATGTGTCTTTCATTATCGTTATGTTCTCGGATAGGTTATAAAAAATCAAGTAAAAATAGGATGAACAACACTGAGCCTATAACCCTTCTTTTGGGTTTACTGCACGCTTCGTCTTAATTCTGCCAGTTACTAGACTAGGTAAGCATATCACTCATTGGGCCAATCGTCTGTCACGGCTGGCTTTGTACTACATCAATAACTGAACTTTACCTGTAAGGGACATTGTCGATTTATGGCCCTGGAGAAGGTGCAGTAGTAAAAAGAAACACTAGTGGAACATGAAGGGAACGGTTTTCGTTCAAGTCACAAACATTTATTGTTACAAATTGTTTGATGAGTTGAGGTGCGGTGGGATGGAAATGAGTAGTGTGGAGTACGACACATGTGTCAGTCATCCTTAATAAGTGAGTAATTTTGACCTACCAATCATCGAGTAGGATCGATAGCTCAGTGGTAGAGCGAGAGATTGCAGTTCCACGCAGTTATCTCTAGGCCCCGCGTTCGAACCGCGGTCGGTCCTTATGTTTTCTCTTTTCCTTTTTATGCATTTCCTTTCTACTACTTCATTGTCTCTCTCTTCTTATCCACTCTCCTTACAAGACGCCTTGTTCTTGCAGACGCAGACAGTCCCACACGTTTCTAGGTTTCTGGCATGCATGCGTTCCTGTCTTTCAGCTGTTCTTCTAAACAAAGAAGAGTCGGTGACGAGGGTGAACGACATGTTGAGGGTTCTATTAGATGACAGATATGTTCCAAAATGAAGTGTAGATAGACATGGATAAAAGTTAGGCGGCAAATATAGACTTTGTGGGCCCATGACTCCCTACACTAAAAATCCAGTCCCAAAACGGTAGACTAAGTGAAGTCTTGTCGGCATTATTTCAGATAGGCTAGAAACGTCTAGCATACGTTGCACCAATAAGGGCTATCAGACTGGGCTTCTTCGTTTCCTCATGTTCAAGTCGCGTTGACGTTTTCAATATACACCGATGACTATCATCGATGTTGACGGATGGACGGGCAGTTTCACACTTTAATTTGCTTCTATAATGGGTACGAAGAAGATAGAAGAGACGAACGAATATCGTGACGGTCTGAGCCATCCTGCGTTGTAATTTGCACTCACAGAAACACAGCCCAACAAGTGTCAGCAAGAGATGTCAACGATGCCTAATCGAACATGGGTGTTGTTGCAAATAAATTCGAGTCTTGGAAGATACGGCTTGATGGATACTTTTGGCCTCTATTTACCCGAGCATCCTCAATGAATCATGATACACGTTGAACCTAAAACGGCAGCCTTTCCTGCAGAACCGCAAGCTAGATAACAAGGCGTTGGCCAACCAGAAGGAAAGATTTCGATGACAAGCGAATGCCAAGAGGGCGGCAAAGACGTGAGAAAACCAAGTCGGAAAAGAAAATGACGCAAAGAGCCCATGATAGGAGTCCCACCACAACTTTGTATAGTTATCAAACGCTCTTACTAATATTACTAGCCACTACTAATATCCTATTAAAGTAGAAGGCAAAAGACACTACTAAGGTTGTGAAAATATTTAGCTCGCCTGATGCCTACTAGGGATCCTGGAGACGATGGATAGCATAGCAGCATAGTGACATTACAGCGTTGGTTGGATGTGTTGTACATTGTACGCCGTACAGTATGCTGCAATGGCATCATTAAATTACGAACACACTGGATTGACTATTATGCCACTTGACGTCGGTCAACCATACTTGCGCCAGTGCTTTATCTGCAACCATCCACTCCCCGGTCATTGTGCGGTTGCTACCATACAAAGCCGAAGCTCCTGGCTTCACTGCCGGTGCAGAGACGACGGCCCGGCCGCCGCCGCCACCGTACACCATCTACACGACGGGGCAGAAGCGCGCCATCGTGGCCGCACATATCTACATGCCCATGCCGGAGGTCCTGGCCGGCGAGTTCGGCGTCTCCAACGCCCAGATCAACCTGAGCGTCACGACATACGTGGTCTTTCAAGGCGTAACACCCATGTTCATCGGTGGCCTAGCCGACAAGTCAGGGCGGCTACCCGCCTACATCCTGTGTCTTGCTGTTTTCACAGCGGCCAATATCGGCCTAGCCCACGCGACAAGCTACGCCAGATTGCTCGCCGTCCGCTGCGTGCAGTCTGCTGGTGTCGAGGCAACCATGGTTCTCTGCCAGGCCATCGTGGCTGATATCATTACTAGCGCCGAGCGAGGACATTATGTCGGTATTGCCGCCATCCCGGCCATTCTGGGCACCAAGAGTACGGGAAGCCATGTGAGGGATTGCTGTCGCCCACCCGCTTTCGCTGGCTTTCGAGTGCGCTGACTCACTAATGTCGGTGAGGAAAACGCGAGTGGCGTGGATGATATCCAGGCAAAAGGAGATACCTTTCGCTCCTGGACAAACTCCGGGGGAAATGGAGCTAACTACATTTTGCGGACATGATACAATCAGAATTACGGACGATATCCTACGGATCCCAGCCTCAGGAGGGTTTCCTCAAAGACCAGTAGCAGGAAACGAAGGACGCCGGAGCCCAAGCTGGAGGTGGCATTGAGCCATACCAGGTTGACCACGGTAGGTGGAAAGCGAGGTACGAGCTGAATCACGGAGCTCGGAGGAGTGTTTTCTACGGCAGCCTGTTCGCTTGCCTCATGAAGCGTACTACAGAAGGCTGCGCAACATGACACCAAGAGGGTCTCGAGAACAGGCGGTATGAAGATGCTATGTTCCAGGTGACCATAATGAAGAAGAAATGACAGATAGTGGTCTGTATCTTATGTAGGCGTATCAATAGACAAGCTTGAAGCCGGTATTTTGCCTGCTGATCTCATTGAGATTCCAGTGTTTGCATTCAATGGGAATGGTCCCGCTAGCTAACCCGATCCCTAGTCCACTCGGTCAACAGCTTCGGACTGGCTGCCAGCTATTGATATTCACTATGGGCCTTGTCGGACCCTTCTGTTGAAGAACAGGCAACAATCAAAAGACCAAAGGCGTGGCCACGGTCAGGGAACAATGAAGCTTGGAAAAGTAGCTGTGTCTCGGCCAAGTAGATACTTAGCAATGCATGCCTCATTTACGGACCTCGCTTCGGGAATGCAGGATTGGTGGATTAGAGCTAGTTTTGTCTCCTTAATTTTGCTTCTCATTACACCACATGTCTCGCAATTCTTCTCTCCAATCGCTTAATGGCAGATTCCAGACCTGGTACTTTGGACGCATCACCCACCACCTCCTCACTCCCGACTCACGACTACATGAACGACACCCTTAACTCGTAAGACGAGGGACCGGGTCGCCAGCTATTGCAACCTACCTCTCCCATCCTCGATCGAATACCTGCACTGTATAATAGGTAGCGCTGTCTTCCCAAGGACATTCCCCTTTTGTAACTTTCGCTAGAGCAAACCCTCACATCTGCCAGCCGGGTCCATTGTTCTCTTGCCATCTAAAGGTTTGCTTCGACAAACGGAGGCATTGGCACGCCAGTCCACACTCAACCTACTCCTTAAAACAAATGGTTTGCGCCCCAACCGGTGCCCAAGAGCGAGACTATGGATATGTCCTCCGCAACGAATGACATCCATGAGAGCATAGAAACGCCGCGGCTTAACGGACACTTTACCGACAATGGTTTACGAAACTGCCCGATCCCCAACGCCACCCAAAGAACAAACATGGCTAGCAAACAAACAAGGCCCACGATGCCCGCCTTCATGGTTTCCGCCCCGGGGAAGATCCTGTCTTTGGCGAACATGCTGTGGTCTACGGGAAGTTAAGGCCGCGCACGATGCACAGAAAGCTGCAAGCGCATCTCCAATGGGCACTTTTTGGCCCTACTGATAAATCCTGCTTCGTAGACTGCCATGGCCGCTTCTGTCTCTTTGTGATCATATCTCCTTGTGACGAATTCATCCAAATCCAAGCGCACGCTGATACTACAATTCCCCGATATCAATCTAAGCCACACGTGGAATACTGATGAGCTTCCATGGGAGGAATTTCACCACTCCTCTAAGAAGAAGTTCCACTACGACATGGGTGACGAGCCTTGACGACGACCTACTCGCAGCACTTCAACCCCATCTTGCTGATATTTCGCCTGAGAAGTCGGAGTCGGAGAGGAAGGTGCATCAGAAAACGGCTTTGGCCTTCTTGTACCTCTTCCTCTCACTTGGCTCGCCCGAGTTTCCAGGCTGCATGTACATCCTGCGATCAACGATACCAATAGGCGCGGATGTTGGCAGCAGTGCGTCTATTGCGGTATGCATTTCGGGGGCGCTGTTACTGCAATCACGCACTCTCTCCGGTCCACATCCTCATCAACCACCGGAGGAAGCACGATTACAATTGGAGTGCGTAAATCGGTGGGCTTTCGTCTTCGAGATGTGCATACACGGCAACCCGTCGGGCGTGGATAATACATGCTCCACGCAGGGCAAAGGCGTAGTCTTCCAGAGGCCCGACCACCAGAAGCCCTCCTTGGTCAAGTCGCTCTGGAACTTCCCGGAGCTGCCGCTGTTGCTGGTTAATACCAAGCAAGCTAAGTCTACCACCGTTGAACTGGGCAAGGTCCAAAGACTTAAGAATGCCCACCCGAAGGTGGTGGGGTCGATCCTGGAAGCCATCGACAGCGTCACGCGCAGTGCAAACGAGATCATTGACGACATTGACAGCGAAAAGGAAGAGAGTCTCCGGCGCATTGGGGAACTGATGTCGATCAATCACGGTCTTTTGTCCTCGCTGGGAGTCTCGCATCCTCGCCCTTGAGAGGATACGAGAGCTAGTTGACCATGAAGGCATAGGTTGGACCAAGCTGACGGGTGCCGGCGGCGGCGGTTGTTCGGTTACGCTGATGAAGCCCGGGGTTCCTAGGGATAGGCTGCAACGGCTGGAGCAACAACTCGAGGAGGAAGGCTATGAGAAGTTCGAGACAGCCCTGGGAGGCGATGGGGTCGGCGTTCTCTGGCCGGCCGTTCTCAGAAATGGCCTTGACGAATACGAAGGTGGCATGGAGATCGATCCTGAAAAGTTTCTTGGCGCCGGTGGTAATGAAGGAGTTGAGAAGCTGGTGGGAATACATTTCGGCGGTGCTAAAAGAGACGGATGGAAATTCTGGCGAGTCGAGAGCTACTAATGTACAAATGAATGCGAAGGTTATCATTAACAATGTGTTTGTATTGGAAGGTTGGCATTGCACTCATCGTAGAAGGCATTACCTGCCTTGGCCAACGCAGCTTTCACATTACCGCCTCACGCTCGCACGCTGCCTGATCCCCAACGTTAAGACTTGCTTCTTCCTTGGCTATATACATCCGTTAAAGGAGTCAGCACACTCTGTAGCAACGGCGAAGTTAATGGGTGGCAGCTCCAAGGCTGCTTTCTTTCGAAGTCATCGACAGGAACCCATCACTTCTCTCACCTTGCCAGAAATAGCCGCCGAAGCGCTCTTTTCATGCTTCTATGCTGATTATAAACATATTGTTTAACCATATCGAAAGTTGAATCTGCTCCAACGACGGATTCTTGTCGGCAGGGAAAAGAGGTCGGGCTGCCGTATTCTCCCGAACCGTATGCAAAACCGCAACCCATTTCAGGGCATCAGTATACATCCCGAAAGCTATGATATGAACTACATCAACGATTACAGAACTCTCTCGATGAGAAGAGCCGCTCTTTCATCACCAAAGACCCGGCCAATGGGCGTATTCCGTGCTCGTTCTCGACATGCGATTACTTGTCTCCGACCCCCGGAGCCTAAACAGGCATGAAAACGCCCCTAGTCTTCGCTGGCGAAAGTTGGAAGAAGAACCTGGGCACGTATACTTGAACCTGCCCCCCCCCCCCCCCTGAGACGGCCTTGGTGTTCGTTGGAACTTCAAAGACTCAACGCATGCCTCGTACTGACTACAACCGAAGTCGGGTATGGTCTACCCCGAACGCTGTCTAGGTCCGCCTCGCGAGTATCCGCTATGAATGAGCGTCCGTGGCTCTTGTTCGCACCGATACCCCGCGGATATGGACCCCGGGTGCCTCCTGGCGGTTATCCGCATCATGACCCTCGCCCCCACCTGCGAATTCCAATGTTCGCCAGGCCAAAATGGGCGTGAAGCCCGAGCTTTTGGTGACAACAACAGTTCGATTTGGCCAAGCGTTGCTTCCATCGAGACTCCCCAGAGAAGAGCATTTCGACAAGAACGAAGGGAGGGTGGAGGCTTGCTACGTGGGAGCACATGTATCCCACAGACCTGCGACGCCGCCTTCTCATATCTCCCAGCTATAGTTTCTCTCACCTCGCTTCAGACGTGTGCAACTCACCACGGCGACCGTTCTTTGATCGCCAGGCTACCGTCACCGCGCTTGTTACGGCTCAACAGACATATGGGAGTAGACCGGTTTAGATCATGTACCTACCGAGACATCTTCACCATTCCGCACATCTCTGAAGACGTGACATGTGCTCAAATGAAGCATCGAAAGCCCTTCACTCGGGGGGCGGGGGGGGACGCTGGAACCACAAGCCTGCTTCGCAAAGCATACATTGCCATGTCGTCTGGGCGGGACACAACGACGGCATCGGGCCGCTCTCCAGCCTCTTCATCATCATCATCACCTAGACGATTGGCCGACTATCTACCGACGAGCATCCGCTACTCACCGCCGCCGAGAATTCTCCCGCGAGAACTCAAGAGAGCCTCGCTCCCTCCAACGCGACACATCATCTTCTCCAAGCCACGATGCGTGAACCTTGTGAGCCAAGCCTCCGGCACCGCCTTCTCCCCAAGCAACCTTTTCACACACACACACACACCCTTTTCACCACGGCCTCTAACCACGCGCCCCCGAAACCCAATCCAAAGCCACCCTCGACGCTCCCCCTCGCCCTTGGCAACATCCATTCGGAGCCAAGCTCCCAGCTCACAGCCCAGGACCGCGCGTAGTTTCCGTCATCGGACGCGCGCGCCGATCAAGGCTGCAGCTGCAAGTTGTAGCCACGCCCAGCCCAACGCATCGCATCAGCTCGAGACACATGCCCTTTCTCTCCTTTCCTCACCTGACATGACCTTGAGCGTACAGCGGACGGAATACGCCGATCGACACCCGCCTGTCGGTAGTTCATTTCCACCCATATCGGAAACCTCAACACAAAAAGGGATGTACAGAGCCTCCGGAAGACGGGAACTCTCTCCCCGGCCTGTTTCTACCGCGCATAGTTCGCCCACACGCCCACGGCTTGGGCCGATCCTTCTTCTCCGTCACCTTAATCCCCGTCTGAAGTTCGGCGGAGCATGTACGGGGCACCTGTGTCAACCATACACGTATACCGACGACTTGAAGCTGCTGCCCCTCATTGGTCGAGCGAGTCTGCGGGCAGGAAGTAGAAACGGAGCTATTGCACCGGTAAGGAAGACAGCTCAAATCATGAAAGAGAAGAGAAATAAGACCAAAAAAAGAAAACGAGAGCCATGATACTTGGCTTGGCACCGTAACTCTCACGGATGGCACATCTCATCGCTCAATGAGGATCCCCGAATGGGCCAAGAAACCCGTCGAGGTGGCAATCTCCAGGCAAGCATCGAGACAAGCTTCCCCTGGCCACCCCTCTTAGCCTGGATGCCCTTTTGGCAGGCGACCTGGTCGAATAGTGCAGCATCCGCCGTCAAGACTTAACTTTTCTGGTAATTGACCATCGCCCAGACTTTACGGAGCCAATACGCACTAGCGGACGCTGACGTCTCCAACTCGGGCAAGGTGGGAGAAAGGTTCTAGAAGGTCTGGCCGGCCCCAAGGTGGTCCCCCTCTCCTTCGCCACGAGAGATAAGGTTCTCGCCAGGAAAAAAAGTCTGTCTTCCAAAGTACGGAGTACTGGCTCGCTATCGCAACTCGCCAACCCCTCTGGAGATGGTCGGATGGCAAAACGTCCATCACGCAGGCAAGAATCATGATAACGACATTTTCGGGGCAACGTCGAAGGTCCCAGACCACCCCCTCCAGAAACAACTCCCCCCCTCTCCCAATAACCTGCAGGAGGGCCATGATCCCGCTGTCCCTTTTATCCCCGACGCACGAAGACCAACTTGTTGAGCCGCAGGACGACGACGGCAGATGCACATGGTTGAAAGCGTACGCGATGTATCCGGTACTTGAAGGAGATGTATTTGGTCAAAGGGGGTGATGAGCCGCCACATGTGGGAATATGAGCATAGGCCACCGCCGTCATCTCTGATGCAACCTATCACGGTGCATACTGGCCGCCCAGTCAGCATGTGAGGGATTTTCTCCCTCCTCGAGATGCCGCCGCATGTACAGAGAGGCATGAGTGGTCGGTTTCCCTTCTCTCCGTGTTACGTGGGTGTGGGTGTGATTGAGCCCGGAACAAGGGAACCCATTCTGAGCATTAGCCAGAAAAAGAATTGCACCACACGAACCCCAGACTCTGGTGCAACATCGCGCGGTGGCCTGTGAGGATTCTACTCGCGTTTGCTCTTCGAAGCAGAGGAAGTACTCGATGCATGTGTCCGTCTGCGGTGGAACGACGGTTGCCTTCATAGGCACAGTCTCAAATACGACCTGCAGCACGGAAACCTGCGGCAAACTCCTCCGCGTACCTGGGCGCTTCGAAAACAAAAGGCAGTCAGTCGCATGAACTTCACCAGGAATCAGGCTGGGGTAAGTTCAACGAATAATTCGTGACCAGCTGGAAAATGCAACAGACATTGAAGCGAGACCTTCCGCGCCCATTTTAACCAGCAACATCGGCCAACAGCTTGAGACTGGTATTGGAGAGAGTCAAGTATGGGGATCGGTCTGTCGGCGAGCACTCAAATGCAGGCCAGCATTTTCAGGGCTTCGGTTGGTCTCTAGCTCACCGCCACTTGGCTTGGCGGAATGTATCGCCGAGTGCAGAGGAGCCAGCCACCCAGAAGGAGGCTCGAGCGGACCGGAAGGGGACAGCCAAGCCTCGCCGAAGAGAGGAAGAGGCTGGTGATGATGTTGATGGCAACGGATCGGCAACGGAGATGCGTCAACTGTATCCGTATGAGCATGGCGGTTCGAGAGCTTTTCCGTAATACAAACCCCGTCTTTGGCTGCTCAGCCGGCCACGGGTCCTGTGCCGCCACACTTCCCAACCCATTCCAGTGCTCTCCGCCTCCCATTTTCAAGCGAGCGACGAAGAGAGCGGGAGATCCAAGTGCGAAGCAACAGGAAACCCCGCCACCACCCATACAGTCTGTAGATGAAGGTATGCCTTAGCCGTCAAACGCTGATATGAGACGTCAACTGGGGCCAAGCTCGTGGAATCCCCGCCATCCCACGCCCACGACATAGAATGTCCCATGAAGCGCCAGCGAATTTCATTTGTTGTCCATCACGCTGTAGGACGTAGGCTTTTGTCCGTAGCCATCTCCTGGGCTAGACCCAAGACAAGCGTGTGTGGTATGAACATCTAGCGTCAGAAGACAGACAGCATTACGCATGCCGGACAATTACAACGATATAGATGAGCCACTGGAACACGTCTGCTTTTCAATCAGCCAAGCCTTGGCCTCGCTGCTCGTTATTTCAGTGTCGATATTCCAATGATTCCAATGCGACAACCACCTGGTAAACGACATGCAGATCCAGATCCAACCCCGCCTGGAGCTACTAGCTGGGGAAATTTGGGTTTCGGCAGCGCCGTCTCAACAACTTTGGATCACGGAATCGTTTGGGGGTTAAGTTGGGGGCACGTCGCATTTTCAGGGACGCCATCGAGAACCAGCCACACT